CAGAGAGCGCCACTCCTTTTAAGAGGTAAAAGCTTGACAAACAACAAAGTCATAATTCTTCTTGAAACCATTAATGGTCTGAGACTGTGGGAAACCAAATAGCTTGAAATTCAAGAAAATACGGGGCCTTCCAAGGAGAGATGTCAGGGCAGCACCGGCTCAACTGTGTAAAGCACGGGTGGGAGAGATGCCAGGCCACGCAGGTGAATAAAAAAATTCCGCTGAAACCTGAAACAGTTGCAAAGGCCAAGTGTGGACTAGGGGGAGAGTACAGCATCCTGGGCAGTGGCAGTCACAACGGGAGTTCACAGGTGCCAGACAGACTCTTCTCCATGGACCGTGCCACTTAGTCACTGAGAAAGCTGGGCGCCAGGAGGAGGCTGGCCTGGAGGAGGGGAGCGGCCAGATAATGGGAGTACATACTGCCCCTCTAGGAGGTGGGGTCCCCATCCCCTGACCAGGAACTGAGTTGCTTCTGATAAACAGAGTACGGAAAGTGGAAAAGTAACGTTATAGTGGAGGAAACTGGTCACGAACAAGGTCACCATCACCAATAAGTCATGAGGGTATCCTGCCCCCTGAGGGGGTGTTATGATAAAGACACTTCACCTCTGTGGTATTTTATCCCCCAAATCCACAACCCCCATCTAACCACGAGGAAACAGAAGACAAACCAAAATTAAGGGACAACATACCTGATCCGGTCATGAAAAGCAAGGAAAGGTGGAGAAACTGTCACAGATCAGATTAGGCTAAGGAGACAGGGTGACTAAATGCAAGATAGGATCTACAACAGAAAAATGATATTAATGGAAAGCCTGGTGAAATCAAATAAAGTCCATAGTTAATAGTAACTGCATTTTGATAACTATACCATGGTTATGTAAGATGTTAACATCGGCGGAGCAGGGGAAGGCTCTGTGAGAAAACTGCTCTTTGGCAAACTTTCTAGACATTTAAAATTGTTCCCATATAAAGGGGTGGGCAAGTTTTGATTACAGGGGGAAGGAGGGAACTTTTTTGAGATGCTGGAAATGTTCTATATGTTTGTCAAAACCTATGTCCTTAAAAAGGTGAATTTTACTGTATGTAAGTTACACCTGATTAAACCTGACTTAGAATGCACATACATTACATCACTGTTGGGGGCACATGTGGATGTGAGGCTTCGAAGAGAATGAAGGGGAAGGCCTCACTCTGTAGAAAAGTCACCAGGCCCTAGCCTTCCTCTATTAAGAATCTCACTTTCAATACTGGGGGAAATATCATATTTACTTCGAACTGCTTTTTTTAAAGTGCTAACTATGGGAGATGGGCCAAATGTTCAATTTCTCTAATACAGAGGAAGTATAGGCCCTAGCCTCCCTCTATTAAGAATCTCACTTTCAATACAGGGGGAAATATCATATTTATTTCAAACTGCTCTTTTTAAAGTGCAAACTATGGGAGATGGGCCAAATGTTCAATTTCTGTAATACAGTAGGAGTAGTTATGGACATCTCAGCAGCTCCGATGTAAACAGAACCAGTGAGCCCAACATTGCAACAGAAACTCAGGAGGCAAGGGTAGGTCAATTTCTCCTCTGCACACACGTCTTCCTGTTGGTAAAACAGCTGCAACCACAAGGGTGGTACTCATAGCCATGGGTGGCTCTTCAGAGCAAAGGGGGGGAGGACTTGAAAAAAATTATTTAAAAAAACATATGATTATAGCATAACATTGAAATTCAAAATAACTTAGAGTTATTAACAACATCCCATTCACCTCTGTCCCTAGCTCCTTCAGATAACTGGAGTTACTATTACGCTTCCAGAGATATTCTATGCTTATACATGTATTCTTTTTAATGCAAATGGTAGCATATTGTACACTCCTTTCTTCACTTTGCTTTCTTTTTACTATTATTATTTTAAAAACAACCCTGCCTCATTACAAGGTGAACTTGAAGCACTTCAGCACAATACATATAAAATAATGGTTCAGAAAGTGAGATTAGAAAAAAAAATAGAACAAAGACAGGGGTTAGTTTAGGACAAAATATTCGTCCCTAAAGATGCTGAAGGGCTCCCAATGTGACTGATCTTTCTAGCAGCTAATAGAGGGTAAAACACAAGCAGTTACTATGGGCACTATGACTATGACTATAGTGTCCATACCATAAAAACTAGCAGTTTATTCTTTTGTCATGTCCATGTCCTCCCTCTATGATAAAGTTAAACTATTGAATTAAAAAGAAAATAAAACATCAACACCAAACACCATAAAAACTAGCAGTTTATTCCTTTTGTCATGTCCAAGTCCTCCCTCTATGATAAAGTTAAACTACTGAATTAAAAAGAAAATAAAACATCAACACCAAAAACATTTTTAAAAAAATCACTAGTTGGTTCTAAGAACTGAGTAAACCGCTTCATTAAAGAGCATACTTTAAAGGCTTCTGGATGGTGGGAACAGGGCAGAAGCTGTGCTTATAGTTCTTCATGTGACAGTAGGCAGAGTGAAGAGAGAACTCAGTCAGCACATGATAGGCTGAGGGCAGGCCTCACTTGTTACAATTTCTCCCTGCATGCATCTGCAAGCATCTCTCTAAGGTAAACTCCTACAAGTGGATTTGCTGGGTCAATGTGTATGGCAGCTGTTTATTTTGACAGTGATTGCAAAATTGCTTTTCATGAACAGTGACTGATTTATACTCTCCACCTCCACAGCTGATTGTGCCTGCCTCCCCACGCCTGCCTACTCAACCTGCAACCCTCCAACCCGATCTGGAAATACAAGTATTGCACATGAGATTGAGCATCACCCTGTGTGTTTCAGCACTTACTTTTTTCTTTCCTTTACTGTGACCTGTCTGTTCAGATCCCTTGTCCATTTTTTTTCCTATTGGACTGCCTGTCTTTTGCTTAGGGCTGTAGGAACACCTTATATATTAAGGGAAATATCCCTTAGTGCTATCTGTTGCAATTTTTATCTTGTGGGCTATTTATCTTTTGAATATGTTCATGGCATCTTTTTTTTTTTTGCCATACAGAAAAATTTTATGTCATAAAATTTATCTACACAGTAATTTCTTTTATGGCTTTATGGATTTGAGGTTCCATTGGGCAAGGCATTCACCACTCTAAAAATTAATCACTGCTGCTGTCTTCCATTTCTTTTGCTTTAGTTTGCAATTTATTTCATGTAAAAGCGTAGGGTAGGACTCCAAGTTTATCCTCTTCCTGACAGCAATCCAGTTTTCCAAGGAGTGAATATTCCATCTCTGTCCCCTGATTTGAAGTGGGGGTGGGCAGCTTCTTGAACTGAAGGAACCCCATGGCAATCTGCAAAGTCCTCCTCTGCAGCAGCTGCAAACTGCACACACTGCTTTCGTACACCTTGGGCAGCAGGGAAGGAAGACCTCCAGGCGAGGCTTTCAAGAAAGGCCAGTTGGGTCCGCACCCCCTCCTCACTGAGCTGGACGTGGCAGAGGCACGAGTTGGCCGGCACCCATGGTATCCTGCCGTGCCTATGACGATGCTGCACCCTTCTGCTCTCATTTCTCATGGTGCTCTGGTCACACAATATTTCAGAATACCCTGTTCTTGAGGGTTTCTCCAGACAACGTGATCTTCCCTAGGTGTTCCACTAGAGGGTGCTTCAACTATACACATTTACATATGCTTAAACATGCACCTATGTTGTTTGTGTGGGTCGCACATATGGATGCCACACATCTGCATTTTCATTGGCAACATATGACACTGAAGTATGACTGGATTTTTAATTCTCTCCTATTCCTTCCACACATGGTCCGATGACCCTCCCAGTAAGCTGCCAGAACCCAAAGGTGTGGGAAATGGAGATTTACCAAAATTGAAACAGCAATGACAGAAAAGGAGGGCCCATGAGCTGAGTTCCTCTCCTTGATCTCATTCCCTGGAACAGTTTTTGGGGGAAGATGTTGGCTTACAGAAATTCCTCTAAAATACAGGAAATTAGGGGGCTAGGGCTCATTAAAGTCACAGGTAAGTATCCAAAGCTCCAGTTACTTTGCAGTGAGTTGTGTGGGGCGGGGAGGGGCCGGGGAGGGAGAAGGAGTTGTACGTGGGTTGGTGATCCTCTGAGGTAAGTAGGGGTCCTTTCGGGATGTAGGAGGTGGGGTGAAGAGATAAGTGTCACCAAATAAGTGAGAAGCTTTGGACCGGTGATCATGGGGAAGACATTAAAAATGCAGGTTTTTAAAAGACATTTCCCTTTTTGGAAGGGAACTGCAGAAGTGGATTTAAAAGGTCACTTTTACCTAAAAACTCAAGGTAGAATAAATAAGAAACCTGGAAATGACGGCTTTGATGAGAATAGCCTGAAGTATTACAGGAAAATGATAATAGGGGCCTTGTAGCTGATTTTGAAGACAAAGCTAAAACAGGCATCGATGAGAGACAGTGAGCAGCGGTGCATGTTATTGGAATCATCACCTGGAAGATTTTTTTTTAAATCTTGCTTGCTGGGACTGAGATTCATGCATAAACATTTTTCAAAAAGTTTCCCAAGTGATTCCAATGTGCACCCAAGTTCAAGAAACAGTAGCTTTCATCAGTGGCTCTCAGACTTGACTGAGCATCAGAGTCACCTGGAGGACTTGATGGCACATAGATTGCGGGTCCTACCTCCAGATTCAACAGGTTGGAGGTGGGCGACCAAAACCTCGTGCTTGCGATGTGGTTAGTCTGAATTGAAATGTGTAGTAAGTTCAAAATACACAACAATAATAAACCGTAGAAAGAGAAACTAAGGAAACAATCCCATTTACAATAGCATCAAAAAATAATAATAAAGGAATGAATTTAACTGAGGAGGTAAAAGACCTGTACTCAGAAATTTAAAAGACATGGAAGAAATGAATTAAAGATACAAATAAATGGAAGCATAGTGCCATGCTCATGGATAGGAGGAACCATCATGAAAATGTCCATACTACCCAAAGCAATCTATAGAATCAATGCAATCACCATTAAAATACCAAGAGCATATTTCACAGACCTAGAACAAACTCTCCAAAAATTCATCTGAAATAAAAAGAGACCCCGAATTGCTGCAGTGATCCTGAAAAAGAACAAAGTAGGTGGGATCTCAATACCAGATATCAAGCTGTATTACAAAGTTTTCAGTCTTTTCC